TTTAGTTCCCATATCCATAGCATCAGAAGTTCCCCTGTAGCAGTAAAACACTCGCCTCCTGAGATAGCAACCTGTTTCCAGGAATACTACGCAGCACTTTATAATCTAGCCCAACCCTCCCAACCACGCTCAGGTGGTATGGACCGCATTCACGAAATACGACAATTTCTGACAAGAGCCAATATGCCCACTATAGACGACGCACTCCTGGCCTCACTAGACAGACCACTCACGGAAGAAGAGCTACGAAAATCTATCCAACAATCGAAACCGGGTAAGAGTCCGGGACCGGACGGTCTAACGACTCAATACTATAAGTCCTTCCTGGCCACCCTACTCCCACACTTGAATTCGGCATATAACTCCTTACAAGCGTCAATCCACCCACCCCCTCAACATCTGGAAGCTCACATAACTGTCATCCCTAAAGAAGGGAAGGACCCCCAGCTATGCCCTAGTTACCGACCCATTTCACTCCTCAATGTGGACCTGAAGATCTTCACGCGTGCCCTGTCGAACCGCCTTCTCCCGCTGTTGCCCGATTTGATCACCCCCAACCAAGTGGGGTTCATCCCGGGACGAGAAGCTAAAGATAGCACCACGAGAGCTCTCAACCTCATCCATTGGGCAAGACAGCACAAACTGGAGACACTGGTGCTGTCAACGGATGCGGAGAAGGCGTTCGATAGGGTGGCGTGGGACTTCATGTTTGAGGTTCTGAAGTATGTTGGCCTACCGAATCGCATGATACACTGGATAGAGGCAGTCTACTCATGCCCCAGAGCAAGAGTCAGGACGATGGGATGCTTGTCAGACAGCTTCCCAATCAACAACGGGACTCGTCAGGGCTGCCCGCTATCTCCCACACTGTTCGCCCTAACCCTAGAACCATTCATCAGACTGGTGCAGCTAGACACTGAAATTACAGGAATTACCATAGGCCCAGAGGTCCACAAGACAATGGCATACGCTGATGACCTACTATTCTTCCTTTCTGCACCCCACACTTCCTTACCGAAACTGATGGCCAAATTTGACGAATATGGACAACTATCCAATCTAAAGATTAACTTTACCAAATCAGAGATTATGCCCCTTAACATGCCACAGAACGCTAGAACTCACCTTCAAACGTCCTTTCCCTTTATCTGGTGCTCTGACCGAATCCCTTACCTAGGAATAAAGCTGACCTCAGACTTGACACGACTTTATGATGCCAACTTCGCACACTTACAAGACTCCGTACTGAAAGACCTCAAGTCTTGGAGAACGCACACCTTCTCATGGTTTGGAAGAGCAGCCTTATTGAAAATGAATGTACTTCCTAGAATACTGTATCTCTTCCAAACCATTCCCATCAAGCTCCCGAGAACGTTCTTCAGAGCTATGGATACCGCCTTCTCCACCTTCGTGTGGCAAGACGGGAGACCCCGTGTATCATGGTCCCTACTCAAATTGCATAAAACAGGAGGAGGCCTGGGGATACCAGACCTATTTAGATACTACAAGGCGACACATCTCACCAGAGTCTTACATTGGCACCTCCATACTGACACTAAACTTTGGGCTTCAATGGAGAATGACACCTTGGATATACCCCTTACCTCACTGGTATGGCTCAGACCCGCGCTATGGCCGATAACGATACGCACGCATCCAATTATAGGGGCCACCCTGGCAATATTCTCTTCTACCAGACGTAGGGAAGCCATCACCTCCCTGCATAGCCCGATGGAACCACTGATGCACAACCAAGACTTTCCTCCAGGTGTTACAAGAGAATTCCTCTCTCATTGGTCCCAAGATTCCCCCCTAAGGGCACACCTATTCTTCAGATCCCACACATTCGCACAAAAGACCGATCTTGCAGACCTCACCAAACAAGGATCATTGCCCTGGTGGGTCTACTTCCAAATCAGACATTTCTTAACGAACCCCATCCGAAGAACCTCCACAGCTAGAGACCTTACCCCGTTTGACTCTGTCTGGCAAAGGCCAGACCCGACACCTACTCCAGAGCGATTTCCCACCACACGGTACTCACCCACGCACTAAATGGGAACGGAATCTCCATACAGTGATCCCTGAGGATGACTGCTGGATATTTGTTCAACAGTGCACAAATCCGCATTTAATAGCAGAATGCAGGAAACAAATTACAAACTCCTAGTCTCATGGTACAGGACTCCCCACCTATTACACTGCATGTACCCAGCCGTGTCCCCACTGTGCTGGAGATGCAATGCAGAAGATGGTACCCTCACACACATCTTTTGGTCCTGCTCCCAGATACAACCATTTTGGAAAAAGGTTTATGAAGCAATTTATAAGATCACTGGAGCCACACTTCTATTTTCACCCTCGCATTCCCTACTACATTGGGAACCTGGGAAACCAAAAGGCGCGTTTAAGTCACTTCACCGGCACCTCATTAATGCTGCCCGCACAATCATCCCCCGCCATTGGCGACAGCCCGATGTACCTACGATCCGCGAATGGCTGGCACAGGTTGGTCATGTATATGAAATGGAGGAGTTGTTGGCTACCAAACAAGATAAACTAGATCACTTTAGGTCAAT